ACACACACAACTACTGCTCTGTCTGGAGGGAGCAAGTTCAAACCCCCTGCTGAATGGACGTCATCATTTGAGTTGATAGAAACCAAAAATTGTGTTAAAGATGGAGATCAGTCTAAAAACCTTAATTTTAATTCATAACAAGTCACCATATTTATTTGAATGATCAAATTGTGTGTGGAAAACCCTAATATGCAAAGTTGCTATGACCAAAGCTATCAAATTAATACTCAAATAGGGTCCAGGTGGGGTCTAGGGGATGGATAGGTGAAAACAGACATACACAATCACACACAATTAAATGAAGTCTTGCAATTAAATCAGTATTGGCGTTCGAAAACACTGCCAAACACACATGTTGTATCGCAGTGTAATGCTCACCAGGGAGGGGCTGAATGGACGCTGAGCGGAGCGTAGGGTATCACGGGCCGTCCAGAAAAAGGTTGAGAAGCGGCCCTGGAGATCTATGTGGACCCTCTCTGTCTCTGAAAGATTTCTGCTCATGTTTCCCTCCAGCAGAAAGTGATACCATGAAACGAGTCAGTTCTCCTGCTCCCCACGGAGCCTTTTCCCTTTAACAAGCCCCAATAACAGTAAAGTTGTCATATCAGCCCGCTCCTCAGGTTGTGCTTTTCACATTCACTCATTTCTATTTTCGATTTGGACATACTCTCCTTACCTAAGATACCTCATATTGACCTCTGACCTATTGCCTGTAAACCAAACCTTTTTTGCCAAGTAAAGAGTTTTTTTCTTTTTAAGAGTAATTCCTTTTGCCTGTGGTTGTAAAGAAAAGGTGTACCTGCTTTCCAAAAGACATATCCAAGAATGATATGTAAAAAAATACTTGATTGTATTTTGCTTCCTTACAATATGCTGATCTCAACAGGTCTGACCCGGAGTGAGTCACAGCCAGAAACGGAATAGAAAGATCTTCAGTTATTGGAAAAGTAATATAGAAAAGCGATTTTCCAGTATGTTTCTTGGATGAAGGCTTACTGTAAATTCTAATTGTATAAAGGATGTTTGGAGACTGGAGGACTCTGCCCTCTCTGTCTTTCACTTTCTATTTCCTCATGCACACACACAGGCTTCCCCCCATGTGTGTGTGTGTGTGGTCTTGATCTCTTTACAGTGACATTAAAGTGGACCAGCGTCTCCTCTCTCCACAACTGACTGGGACTTAAAGTGTATTGTTGTCTTACAGAAAGCCTGGGGGGGGGGC